CACGGTACCGCGTGAAATGCCAAATATTTGTGCCAGGTCTGCATTAGTGGTTCCCAAACGGAGTTTTATTAGTGTTAAAAAACTCGTCCTTTTGAGAAAGATCCCGTTTTGTTCCGAATTTTTTTGGTGATTTCCTTAAGTTCCTGCCTTTTCTGAATGTTTTCCACTCCAATATCTCACCTTTTTTATAGATCCAGTCAGTAAATTTCCAGTCTGGTTATTTCTCAGATCTGAATGCTTCAATCCCTTATCCTGTCTGGCAACAAGCTGAACTTCCAGCAACTTCACTTTTTCACTTAGCTCCAGTATTTTCTCTAAAAGTTCCACGATTTTTTCATCTTTGTCTTGCCTGCTTTTCAAGCAAGATGTGTTCATGCAAAAATTCGAATTTTCATTTATTTCATACCAGCCATAGACATAACAACGGTCAGGAATTACGGATGCTCTGTCTATGTCAACAAAATCACTGATAGAAGTATAGGGCTCAGGGTCTTGGAGCTCACCACCATCACAAGCCAGCTTGTCGGCTGAGCGGTCAAGAACAGATACTGGTATTTCATCGCTACATGTATCTAGCTTAGCTCGTTTTCTGGATCTTACTACAAGAGAGTTATCCCGTGGTGTTGGTGGTGGGCGTTTGGAGGCTCTCGTTTTCTTGTTGTGACCAAGTTGCAAAGTTGGGTCTGGGTTTTCAGCCACTGGTTCACCGTCAACGAAGTGAAGATTACAAACTCTCGAATCCTTGTTAGGCATCAAAAGAGTCCCATTCAAACTGTTCCTGCTTATACTTTTTGCCCATTTTAATCGGCGTTTTGGGTTCTTCTTTTCTGTCGGGAACGACAATAATTTGAAGGGTGGCTGACAGTCACACATGCTTGAACCATTGTTACAACCATGAAGCTCACAGGTCGTAGCAACCCATTTCCCTAGCGTTTGTCCACTGTTAGGACAGCCTATGGCCGAATCCCATGGACAAAGTATCTACATTAAAACAAAAGAAATACGGCATGAGTCTGAGAACAAAAAAAGAAAAAAACATACTAGTAACATCTCAAATCCACTACGCTCTGCTGGCTAAAATCGGTAGAATGACGTTCCCAAAAAGTAATGAAACAATAGCTTACCGTTAAAATACCTTTGATTTGGTTTTCTATATGTGTAATTCGGCTCAAAAGGAGGGTTTCTTTGCGTGAAAGGTCACTGAAGACAAGCCACTCGATGTAATCCAATATGGCGAAGCTGCAAGTGGATGCCCACTTTTCTGAGCCCGCCTACCCACAATGCCGTGCGATCCAACAGGAAGTCCAGAACTCCTGATGCATGCATTAATATCATTGGTGGCGAATTACGTTAGCAATCGGGGATTTTTGAAAGTTTATCCTGGATCGTATCGATCGAGAACTCCACCCTCTCAAACGTTTAGAGCTTACATTTGGCTTAACTTGAGAATTTTCAGAATTTTTCGACAAAATACCTCCTTCTTAATGTACTCTTTTGTGTGTTTAGGTTTTCAAAAGCGTCTTTTAATGCCCTGAAATCTTCATTCACAACCCCAGGTTCATAACATTTTAAAACTTTGTCGCCATCTTGGCACTGAGACGTACGGAAGGTTGTAATTTCACATGTGAAATTATAAACTAACGCTGAAATGGTACCTCCGGGAATTCTTCACAACATTCACATTTGAGGCTTGTTTGCTTCACTGTTTTTCTTTGTTATGACATTCCAATAATAGGCCACAATAGACACAAAATCGTGTGTTTTTAATGCTGGTTACATATTTCTTCATCCATTCAAACCCTTCTCTCCCCTCCCCTACCGCGACCATTTGCCATAATCCTGTCCGTGTGATTAAACTATCATAATTGAGATCAGCGCGCGCGATTGAAGTTGTTTTCCGTGGTCGGTTAATTTTCTAGATTTCTTTTTGGCCGGCGGGATCAAAGTGTTCCGGAAGGTACCATTAAGCCTTATGAAGAAACAAGTCTCACGATAGGCAAAGTCTGACGTCGTCCAATATGTTGCCGTATTTCGTCTCATTATGGCTAAACGGATGAAACACTAATCTCGGAATTGAGACGGAAAGGCATCATATTGCGAGCTTTGATGTGGGCGGTGACGAGTCTCTGGCCTAAAAAAGTAGTTTGTAGGAGTCAAATATATTCGCCGAGAGGAAAATTTGCGCTAATTTCTGACCAGGCCATAGATCTTTGTTACGACATTTTGAGTACACAAATCCTCTAACAGGCTGGGTGAATATTGAATTAAGTACATAAAAGGTTCGGCGTCTGAATCAATTAGGAACGCCTGTTTCAATTTGGAACGGCTCAGCCATTCTTTTCGCCTAGCCCGGCCGGAAATTTCGCCTTTGGAGCGACTTTGGAACGGCTTTCATTCAGACGCCGAACTTTTCATGTACCGAACCTAAAGCACAAAATATTAAAACGTACTTTGTAAGCAGTTTGACTGAAATGAGCATTTTTCGCCTTCTTAATTTAGTTCAGCTGCAATTAAAAACGGCGTCTGAATCAATTTAGCCGGTCTTAAAAATCTGGGTCGGCCTTAATTCCAATTAAGTTCGGCTCATGAACAGTTCGGCGTCTGAACCGGGCCTAAGGAAAAGAATTAAACTATTGTTCAGGCCAAAAATTCCATTTTTTGTGTGTGCCCGTTAAACATTATACAATAGGGAACTTAAGAACCACGACGAAGTTCACGACGACGACGTCTGTTGACTGGGAAAAGACTGGAACGAGAACGTCAGTTTCGGCGGGAAAAAGGAAAGTTACGATGCAGTCGGTCGGTAGGTCGACGACGACGACACTGAATGTAAACACAGATGTATAACTGTGATGTTCGTTCGCAACAACGTTTTTCGCAATGGCGTCTTTCAAAACAATGCAAGATCTTATTTGTTCAAGCCGTATGTCTAATTTCATTGGCGATGAGAAATTTTTTGTGTTGTCTAACCTTTTAGAGTGGAAATACACCTACTTTCCGTACGAAATTATTCAACTTTCAACTTGAATGAGATGAAATTATTCAACTTTAGATGTCGAAAAAGAGACATTCTGAATGATATAAAGATTACCTCCATATTAAAGATATATGATTTGCCTTACCTAAATACGTACTAATGAATTTATCACAATTCACCTACGAGTTCGCTCGCTCGGCCTCCTCAGCTGTTGTCATTCTTCAAGTAAAATCAATTCATTAGTCGAATTTTCAATCAACATCGCTTGTTAGAAGAAAAAAGGAACGATACCTGGATTTAGGAGGACAAGAAAACGCAAAGGCCTTCAAAAATCGCTTAAAACAGTGGATTTATACCTGCCGAAGCTTGTGGATTGCAGGACGACGTGATTCTACTTTGTTTGGCGTCGTCGACGACGCCACGACGACGAAATTTACTGGTCGCGCTTGCGCAGTACAGTGTAACTCACTTCCGGTCGTCGTCGACCAAGTCGTCGTCGTGGTTCTTAAGTTCCCTAATGATGTGAAGGCTACGCGTGCTGTCATTGGTCATTGCCCATGATCTATTAGAGTACCGATACATGGATGACGTCACCGGAAACTTGTTTTTTTGGTGTTGCTTAACATGTCGCACGGTTTTCAAAATGTTTGTGAGATTATTTCCGTTTAGAGCAAGTGAAAGCTTCAAGAAATGTTTAGCAGGAGCTATTTACAAAGAAGACAAATGGAGAAACGGAGACAAAAAGAGCTCTTGACTTGAGAATGCCTGAACTACAAGAAATCTTCACAGCAGGTGCCATCGTGCGTCATCGCTACGAGAGACTCGCTGTTTTGCAAAATGTTTTCGCCATTATTCTGCTTTGAGCAACAAAAGACGTTGAAAAACGTTTCGAGAAACTGTATGCAAGTAAGGTAAAGAAAAAAAAGAAGAAGCAGAGACGAAAAGTAGCGTTTGGGACTTTAACAATTTCTAAACTAGCACAAATCCTCGAACAGTCAAGCGGTGCGAGGCAGGTATGAGTATCGTATTTTTCTATTCTGATCATTGTATAAAACAAATAGATTCCATGTTGCCGTGGGTCTGTTTAGTAATAGATCACAGAGTACGCAAAAATGTGGTCAAAACATCAGTGACACACTTTTTACCACATTTTTGATGTCATCTGTGATCTATTACTGAACAGACGCACGGCAACACGGAATCTATTTGTTAAATAGATCACAGACGACGTCAAAATCATGATGTAGCAAGTACATGACCGATTAGGCAATCAACTGTACGCCTAATCTGTCATACGTAAATTCTAAGTTGCGTAACAGTAGACCTTAGGCCCGTTCCATATCAGTGAGTTTTCGAAAAGCTCCGTTTCATTCTTAGAGTGGAGGCAAGGTCAAAACAGATGAAAATATGCGTTTTTAAGCAAAACGCGTCAGTATGAACAGGGTCTTATTCCCAACTTCTTTGCGCAGGCGTAATCCAGTACTCGTGCATTGTAGGTTTTCTATAAAAGGCCGCTTTCACTTCACAGCTGTGTGCTCTTCACTGTTTCGCAGGCCTTTTATCGCGCCCTAAACCCACTCAACAATAGACCATGGGCCCTCTTTACTACAATGAGTCTTCACAAATCTCAGTTTTTGACCGTGTTAGCGTGGACGCAAGGCAAAAGGGCATCAAAATGTATGCTTTTTCTAAAACGCGTCAATATGCACTGGGTCTCATTCAAGATAACCGTTATCTTCGCACGGGCATAAGGATTGACATTGATTGGGATGGTACCGTGTTGAATGTTAGTTGATGACGATTGTAACGTGTGGTAAGCTGTCCAAATCTATAAGATACACCTCTGTACACGCTGTAAACAAAGTACACGAGTGTTGACTACAGTTTTCCTGCTAAGGAAAAAGGCACTGTTACTAAACAGATAACAAGGCGTTCAGTTTTTTTCCACCCGATCAAAAAAGTTTAGCATACCGGCAAGTACCCATGTTGATGGCGCCGCAGGAGGTTTTGTTGTTATGGGTCGTGTAGAAACTGTTGTGGGTCGTGCAGAAACCTCTGAAGACTTTGCCAACTGTTGAAATGTACGGACGTCGTATACGGAACTCGTCGGAACATGTCGGTTACTTGATAGTGGATCTGTAGCTGTTCCATACAATATCAAGGACCAGCTGAAAAGCGTGCCTGAGGACCCAAAAACGAGTATTAGCCAAGAAAGCTGTTTCCTTAAGCCAAAAATGTTTAGGCTTGACCAAGAATTCAATGGCAAATTAAGAACAACTGAGGCGTAGCACTCGCTTCTAAAACGAGATATATAAGCAACTATACTTTTTAGAAAACGGTTTATAATTTGGCTTTTTCAAGGCTAACAGTTAGTTTTCCCCTGTTAAGGTTAACAAAAGCTTACTTAAACCAGGAGTTTCACGGGCTTGAAACGTATAAAAACCCGATGCTTCCAGGATACTATGGCAAGCCACGAACACTTGAACATCATATGCACACTATTTCAAGTGTTCAATTTTCCATTGATAAAAAGCACATTAAAGTTTCTTAGGTCACTTGGAACCATTTTGCGATCATAAATAGCGATCTTGATGCTTTCAAAATGGTAAATTGTGGCGACAAAAAAACTATTATTTTCTCTTACGAGTTTCGTGCAACACGAACGGTTAACCCCACCGAGACCTTTTTATTGTGACACGCTTTGGGTTAATTTATTCTCGTGTATATAGAATGTGATTGATACAACAGTCGAAAAAGAAAATAAAACGGAAAGGATGAAAAAAAGAAGACAATTAAAAACACCTTATTGTACGTGTTTTGTCTTTCACTATGCTTCTTTTTAGCTATTTCGAGAAAGGTTGTCGGAAAAAACTGAACGCGGAAGGTAATGTGGTATACAATCAATACACTGTTCCTGACACAGTAGCTGTATTTTGTTGCGTTCTTTTAGCACTCGCAAACATACGGCCGTGGCCTCTCGCGACATTCTTTCAAATTTCTTTGAAGAACAGTGAACTCAAAACCACCCACAATACCTTTCAGGATTGTCGCGAGCACTTTTTCCGACAACCTTTCTCGAAATAGCTGTATACGATGAATATTTCTCCGCATTAAAAGTTAACTAACTTGTAGTTTTGACGAAGGAGTAAAGGGCGTCACAATTTCTCCTCACTGTAACCGTTGTTTGCCTTTCTCTAGCCTGCAAGTAAGCTGTCTGTTTGGAAATCGCAAGCGTCGTAGGTCACGCGCGATGCAGCCTGTTCTCCCGCCGTCTCACCTCGCTTTACTGGCAGGTCTTGCATGTCCCTTCGCTTGACGCTATTGTCAATACAGAGCTTGCTCGCAGGCTAACCCTTCTCCTCTGCGTTGAAGAGTAAAACAGTGATTGGCCATCCCTTTCTTCGATGTCTCTTTTTTTCATTGTTCACGTGGCATTTGAATTTCAGAAAAGGGCGTCCAGTAGAGAACGAGCAACAACCCAGGACATCAAGTCAAACTAGAAATTTCTAGTAGTGCAGGCCCGTGGCGCGAAGATGTTAATTCGTCATTAGAGTTTTCAGTATCCAAGTCTCAACCAAAACCATTCATGTAAGCAAAAACAATTCGATTTAATCCCCTAGCTCTCCGCAATGTCTTCCTTTAGCTCAGTAGACAATAAAGCGCGCGCCCTGGGTTTGGGACGCCCTTACAATCCCGTCGGGAACTTGAATTTTTCTTTGTCTAACACACATAGCATGACGACTAGTACATTTCCTATTTCACTACCTCGCTCAAAACCTACTATCTTCTCTTTTGCACCCATGAAAAAATGTTGGAAACATGGACTAAGAACAAGACACGTTGCTAAAGTTTCTGCCAACCGTTGTAATGTTTATATAAGGGTGCTTAAGCAAAGGCGTTTTTGAGCGACACAGGTCTACCGGAAGTAGACTTTGCATTCTTGGGCAGTGGTTTTGCCTAAAGTTTCGGGCAAATCGTCTCTATAATAATTATTGTAAAGACACTCCGTACAGGCTTCACTTCCGGTTAACGAGAGTTGCTCAAAAACGCGTTTATGTAAGCTCCCTAACACTGCTGATGACTCAGAGCCATGCGCTAGGAAAGTAATTTCAGTAAATTTTACAGGCATGGTTTCCAGATAAAAAGAAACCGTCCAATAAGTACTTACCAGTTGTTTGATATTTTGGATCTAAATTGACTATTTTGAGCGTCCAGTCACCCTTAGGATTTTCTCCCCAGTTGAATACGGTGGTGATAATCCAGTTGGTCAAATTTCTGTACCCCGTCAAGTTGTCCATATACCGCCGACGAGTCAGGGGTGATTTCGTGCCACTCGGTGCCTCCAGCTCCAGGCCCAAGTCTCCACGGCGTGCAAAATCAAGATCCAATTTCACCTGAACGTGTTCCAAGTATTTGATGTCACAACTGTCCACTGTTATGGAAACTTCTGATGGGATTACTCTGGGAAGTAAAAGTAGATCAAGCAATTTCAGGTAATTTTAATCTTATAGCTGGTCATGAAATTGACTGAAATGTCAAAGTAACCACCCAATAGTCATGAGAGAAGAAATTCAGAAACGCAATGAGGGGCGTGGGCTGCATAACTCCCGAATAACGGGAAAATACCGAAACGGATTGTACTGTAACCCGACGTTAAGAAGGTATACTTTAACTTGCATAAAAAAGTAATTATATTATAAACAGCAGTTATCGGATGACATTGAGAATGATATGAGGAATAATGTAGATCAATAAACAGAAAAATCTTGAATGAGTAATAATGCAGGCTTTGCTTTGTTTGAAATGCGACGAAGATTCTATTAATAGAAAACTGAAAATTTGAAACTAAAAGCTCTTTTAAATTTATCAAAAATAACCAAAAAAACGCAAATATTGTGCTCGAGCCGGTTTAAACTTAGCGCAGTTGCCTATAAAATCGAAGAAGTTCCCTTCCTAAAATAACGTTTAGAAGTTGCCGCAAGCCGGCCGAGTCATTCAAAGGCTTATACACTAGCTCTGAGTACGACTCAGCGGTGGATATTCTGGAACAACGATTTGGAAGACCAGAACAAATATATTACGCGCACATGACGAAAATCCTCAAAACTCCACTCCAGAGAAATTATCCTGCACCAGTGATCATTCATCGTCTCTTGGATATCTCTACGATAAATTTAGCGTCCACGTGCGAGGATTATCGTCACTTACCAGTTGGAGTGTCTTAAAATCTGTTATCATGTCCAAGCTACCGAAAGAAATACGAGTAGAACTCGTTCGAAAATCGACTTCTGAACAGTGGAAAACTAGAGGGTGGTTAGAAACCATCAAAGGGGGAATCAAGGAGAGAGAAAAGTAAGGTTGTCAAGACTCACGACTCTCCACTGTGATGGAGAACAATTAACCTGTCGAGATACTTTGCAAAACAAGTAAAAACATTTTGAAATGGAGCAAATATATATCTGATTAGCATACGATCCTTTCGCCGCTTACTTCATTTATTATTAATCTTTATTAATTTTTTTTTTCATGTAAATAGAGAAAAAGGTACTGGGGTGTGTTTCTTTCTTTCTTTTTTGTCAGTATGTAATTGTGTATGAGTCTGCATACGATGTATAGTATATGTTTCGTTTTCTTTTTTTGTATTTTTCCTACATGTTCATAAATCAGTGTGTAAAAAAATGTAATGCATAACAAAATAAAAATTCATTAAAATACAAAAAAAAAAATTTTTGACGGGCTTCCTCGACTCCTGCTGTTCGTAAAGGACTCTAAGAGCCTTCAGAGCTTCACTCTAACTAAAAGGGGTAACTACTTGGTGTAGGCACTCATTTAAGTGATTTTCTCTTGCAATATGATGAGGGGCGGGGAGGGGGTCCCTTAAAATTTATCTTAGGTGCCTTTGGTTGTCTCTATTTCACGTTCAATATCTTCGCAAGGCCGGGTGATATTGTGTGACAAAATGCAGTACGTTTCTACGTCAACATTTGTTTCCCTGTTGCCGAGCTGTCCCTCTGTTGGCAAATGTCACCTCAGAGAGGACCTTTTTCACAATTTTTGCTGGGAAGCCTCTGCTCTTCAACTTCTGAATGTTTTCCTTAAAACTGGATGAGAGGAATTGGTGCTGAAAAGGGTCAGCGATTCCCCTTAAAAAAAGCCTTTCTTTACACCCGGTGAGTGACACGAGTAAAAAGTCTTGTACTAAAAGGTTTCTGTACGTTTGTAATGTGTTTGCACGTCAGGGATAGATTACTTAGTTGGGCACAAAGGTGTCAGAAACCTCTCAATTTCATCTAAACTTGCGTTCCAAAAAGAGTCATGCGGCTCTGTCTTTGTTTTCCATTTTCGCCATGAAGATGTTAGCAAATGCAACGGCCATTGTTGTTCCAGTTGACATACTATGGTTATCCGCTCCCCTTGTGGGGTGTAGAGGCTAGGGACTTCCATTAAGACCAGGACGGTATTATGAAGCAATTTTTTATTTCTCAAAAAAATTTAGAACGTCCAAATACCATTATCATAGGTAGCAACTGCAAGGGAGGTCAAAAGCGTCAGGACCTGTCCACTGATATTAGTAAAAGAGGCGACCCCCCCCCCCCAAACTATGTTGAATTTTGAGCAAAATGGGTAGAAATAATTCCTTTTTGGGGGTGCAACATTGCTGCGGGGATGAAGGGATTCATTCCAAGCCGTTCACAAAATGGTCATTAGGAGCAGAGTCGTTTTTAACAATTACTTGGAAAAGTTTTTTCCAGCCTTCCCAAGTTGTTTCGATCTCCACTGTAGCCTCCCAAAAATAGCCTGAAAACAAGCCTTATGGTTGGCGTAAGGCGAGCAAAGCTGGCTGAGGTAAAATTGGGGGAAGAAGAGAGCCATTAAGCCGTTACGAATGGGTTGATGCTCAGCGTTATGTATGGATGTACGAGGGAAGTTTGGAGAGCGCGAGAGTGCTACTTTATTTCTCTCCAAACTTCCCAAGTACATCCGTAACTCCATATACACACAACTTAAAACTTGAAACAATTTTTTTGTAACGTAGCAGCAACAAAGTTCTATTTGTGATTGACTACGTAACTCTCTCCACGGGAGGCACAGAAACACAAACGCCTTTATTACCTGGTTAAAACGAGCCACAATCGTCTAGTCTAGATGGAAACGTTTCATCTCAAATTAATGTTTCTTTTTTCGTCAACAATCAGTGAAAATTAGGGCGAAAGGTTTTCAAGCCCAGATAAAGATAAAACCTCAAATGTTCGTGAAAAGGCCCGAAGTATGGTTTACATTCAGAACCACGTTCATGTAAGCCCCTGGCGAAACCCGGGAAACGTATTGTGCCTTGTGCTTTTCTCTAGATTTTCCAAAAGTCTGCTTTGGTTGGGTCATCAGTCAGGAAGGGAGACGCGACTTAATAACGAAGTCAAGCACTCGTTTTTCCGACCTTGTCGATCAAAAAAGTTGACTTGTGAGCAAGTCTACAAAACTCGTCACATTTTTTGATACACTTGCCATGTTAAGCCCTCCTCATGTTTGATTCAAGTATGTCCCATTTGCGAATGAACGCGAATCTGAACATTAGGGAGGGCGAGAAGAAGTACATGTAGAGAAAAGTAAAATAAGTTGGTTGGGAAGGCGTCACATGGGAAATCCTTAATTTCAGTCTCGTTTTCCAACAAACTTTCACGAGCATTGTAGGTTTTCGTTTTCCGACGACGACACTGCTTGCCATCTTATGTCAATTTCTTTGAGAACAGCAACTATTGGCCTGCGTGAAAGGCGCATAAAAAAGGGGTGCGAGATAAACGATGCTGACCAAAAGGGGGACGATTTGCGTCCTAAATTTCTCATGCGCGTGCATCCCTTCCGCACTCCATTCCCCATCCCATGAAAGAAGACCTTATTAGACACTGTACCTGATGCACCATGTACTATCGGAAAACTTTACAGTAAACCACAAAACAAACCTGGATTTATGCTGTCCCTTCATTTCACAACCCAGTTGTAGCGGCACTCTTCTCCACTGTTTCGCCAAGTGCACCATCTTACCAGCGTTCATAAGACCGAAGCCATAAAACTTGCTGACTGTTAAACCAGCCTTATTTGCCACCCAGTCTCCTCTTTTCAATAGGACCCCACTTGGTGCTGGTGTTGCACTTCTAGCTATCACGTGTTGTACGTCACGCCATGTAAGAGACGGGCTTTAAAGAAAACAATAAGTAGCATATAGTCGGACCCAGTCGCCATTTAAAATTTGGGGATGGAGAAAGAGAAGACTGGATATAAAAATAATCGAGGCGCATGTCTATTGTCATGACTCCCAGTGCTTGAAAACACTGTGGTATTAATCACCAAATGAGACGATCCCTTACACCACTCAGAAGCCTCTCAAAATTTTGCTGCAAAAAAGGTGGTATTTTAGCACTCACACAAGAGCATTTGCTATAACACAGAGATAGGATATACTTTAGAACTTTACATCTCAATCCTGAGAATAAGATATATAGAGAAGAAAAATGACTGACATTTTTGCAATTTGGAAACGAAAACAGTTACTTAAAAGACATAAATTAACACTTGCCGGAAGCCCCCTTAAGTTAAATCGCAAAAACATATCAAACCCTGAGAGGTACTTTCCGTGGCAGCTGTTGTAACTAAAGAAACATTGACTTCTATTTTTATCTCAAAAAGGTACAGCCAACGCTACTGCAAGAGACCTTCAGATAACATCTTGGTTTCAGGAGGCAGCGTGGCCGAGTGGTTGGCGTGTCGGACTCGCAATCCGGCGGTCCCGGGTTCGAGTCCCGCTACGGCGGAATTTGTTCTCGGTCGTCCCTAGATCAAATCTTCAGCCACGCTTGTAAATAGCCAACTGGTTGTCTCCTGTCAGTTGGGGTTTTTAATCCTGTTATGTTGCATTTGAATTATTTGTTTCTAAGTATTTGAGTGCAGTGCCCATTAACTAGCTGGATAAGCTAAGTGCACCTTCCACTATAAACAAGCCTTTAATAGATGCAATATTACTGTAAACATACAAATTCTAAAGCAACCCTACTTTGCTTCAAGAGTTAGTGCAATGAGCCCTGACGCCATTGCTGTGGCTGCTGACGTTGCACCGAAATCGTCAAGGCATTCGTACCCTGTATCAACAGTTACCTGTATACAATACCAATAAAAACAATTATTATAGAGTCAAGGTGTTGAGCAGGAAACTGCTGACTGAAGACTAAGGTTAAAACTATCACCAACAATCACTGAAAGTGAACATTTTTAAACTTCCCGGAAAAACTGTAGGGAGTAAACGACTGCCGAGGACTCGCAAACATGGTCGTTGGTTGTGAAAACGGTATGGTCATATTAGCACGCTTGGTGAATAAGAAAATGGCTTGCTCGGGCCACAAAACGTTGGTCGAAACAAGGAGGTGATAGTATGGTGGTTTCCACTGTACTTTACTTTGCGACTGATCCACCTAGTCGCCAAAGAGGAAGTCTTAAAATCCTGACCTGTGATCGAAAAAAATTTTAGCGACACTCTACTCAGTTACAAGGATTCCAGGTGCCTCGTTCCTTAGAAAACAGCAAAGCCGTGGGGATAAGGTTGAGGTCTCCCCGTAACGGTACACAATCGCCACAATTCGGGACTTCTACATTGCAAGACCAGAGCCCACAGTGACCAACGCGTGAACATGGCGAGAAAAGTCAAAAGCAACCGTCCTTTTTCTTTTTCCACTGGATGTACAAAATGAAATTCAGCTGCTATCAGGAGTCTTCTGTTATTCATGGCTAATTTGTTTATTGGGTTTTTGGTTGAGTCAAAGTCGGAAATCCGACTCGGATGGCATCGTTTTCGTTTTCATCTTGCTTAATGCCAGTTAATGCGTAAGAGGGTTGCAAAGTCTGAAGCGATACTGGCCTTACTTGATACCTTTCAGGAGCTGCATCTCGAGTGGTAAGCCTAAGTAATTATTGTATTTGAGGTTTGTTTTCTTATTTCTAATTTAATGAAGTCGAGCGTCGTTTATGCGCCTTTTTTGTTTACGCACGTTTGTAAGATTTGAGACAATGATCTTAATATCTGACCGAGTGTCAGGTTTGTTATAAGCTTACAGATCTTTAAAAAGCCTTTAGACATTTTCTCACCGCAAATAGAAAGAAACCGTTTCAAAAAATATTTAGTTATAATTCTGGCTGTAAAAGAAAGGTTTGAGCGATTTTCTTGCCTCCAGTTCGTCTTTGAAAAAAGCAAACACCGGAGAGCCGGCTTAAAACATAAACTTCAGCTTTAAGCTCGAACACTCAGGATTTTTAGAGACACTTTAATACTTGTCTTCCTGAATGAAAATTGTCGTCTCTGTATATGTTTCACCGAATTATATTTCTTTTATTGATTGTTAGTACTCTCTCTTGTAATTTTAATCGTTGTGCCGATTGTTTTCAGTCGTTCAGTAAACAACGCTTCCCGGAGTATTCAAAATGCCGCGCGTTAAACCGTTTTAAAATAAAAAATAAACATAATAAATTCTTTATGTTGGAGCTTAACTCTGTTAATGTTCATTCAAACACTCACCACTGCTAGCACTGTAAAAGTCAGAACCGGCTGGCCGTATAGATGATTTTGAAATTTTTTTCAAAGGTTTACGGCTAAAGCCAACGCATGCTTCGATCGTCCTGAATAGCAATTTGTATCGCAAAGTTGTGAAATACGGCATTCTGTTGTCCGAGGTCTGTATGATAAAAACAGTGTCTCATAGTACTGTTTCACCTCAGATGTGATGTATAAATGATATAAAAGGTTGGTTTACATGCACCGAGATTTGTTGGCAAGATTTTGTAAAATAAACTTGTCGAACGCAAAAAATTCGGCCGGAATTTTTTTCCAGGCCTAATTAATCTACGGTGATCAAGAGCCATTATGGCTCTTAATATAAATGTGATCGAAGATGATTGCCAGTTTTTGGGTGTACTTATGAGGCTATCAACTCGATGTGAGATTTGGTTCACTCTTGGGCTGTTTGCAAATTATTTTTTGTAAAATCACTTAGCCTTTCCCTGAAAAGTCACACGAATGTGCTCTAAAGTTAACTGAATTGTGGAATACAAGTTTATTGTTTGATTTAAATTATAAATTTATTAATGGGAGCCTCACTTTTAGCCCTGGCTAAATCTATACATTTGTGAATGAACTGTACTGCCATAAGAAGAGACACCACACTTTTTAAGAAAAATTTACCATATGATAAACACTTTTCGCCACCAACTTTATTTTGACCTACATTTTAGCTGGTCAAACCTGAGTAAAATAGACAACCAGTATTTTCCGGCTAGTAAGCCATTCCCAAGGTACAGGCTTGAATGAAGATATTTTTTACTCACAACTTTTCCAAGACCGCTTAGGGTGTCCCTACTGTAAGCCGTGGCCATGATTGCAGGACACTCTTCAGCATAGGATGGATTGGAACCGTCCTTGTTAACTCCATTGATTGCAATAGTGTAAATACTATTAACATAACCATTGTAAGCACAACTGTCTTGCGTTATGCCGCCATTGCCGGCTGCAAAAGTGTAGATGGCACCCAAGCCCCTACGACCCTAGAACACAAGAAAATAAGTACTCTTTATTGCAGGTTTCTAACCATTGCATAAAGTGTGTTATTATTATTATTATTATTATTATTATTATTACTATTACTATTACTATTATTACAAGTGATACCGGTAAAAGTAAATTATAATTCTTTTACACTTATAAAACTTCGAGTTTAACCCTTAAAATAATTTGATCAACAAGGGTTAGCTTTTTCGTGTTTCTTCGGTGCCGCATATTTATACGACGAAGTCACGATTCGAGGTTTTCCGTTATAGTGAGAAGTGATGCCATTTGCTTTTATTGAAATGAGTGGATGAAAACTGATTGCTCTTTTTGATTTACAAATCATGTAATAAGGAAAGTAAAATCAACTATCACAGTTTGTCAAAAGATGAAGGCACAGGCCAAACTTCACGATGCGGTAGCAGTATGCAACAAAGCGAAATTCGAAGAAAAGGACAGAGAAATGCTGAATGAGATAGAAAAAATCTCTTCTGTCCACGTTCGCCAACAACTCCAAGAGCTTTGGAGGAATGACTGTAAAAAGCAAGAGAAAAAATTCCCAAAACCTGTGGGAAGTAAAGAAAAGTTGGTTTAAGAAATTCGAAGACATGCAACGGAGAAAATATCGCCAACTCGGAGGATGCGGCACCTACCCCGCCAACAAACCAAGATCAAAGGCGCGGAAAGCGCAGAAATGCGAGACAACCGCCAAACAGACGGCGAAACAACAGCCGCCCCAGAAAGAACAACCAAAACTTCAACAACGCAAGTGACAGGAACAGAGATACCGCTAATAGTAGAAATAGTGGCAACAGAGTCTCGCAACAACGAAGAAAGAAGGGACAACAGCGAAACTCAATTCAAAATAATCGTCAACAAAGAAGTCGACCACAGGAAAGGAACTCTAACCGTAACAGTGGAAACGGCAGGGTTCGTAACAATAATCGTACCAGTAAGGATAATGATAGGAGCACCGGTAGGTCAAATTACAACCGGAGGCCTTTTTTAGGGCAGGGCCGGTACAGCAATCCGAATCAAACATGATTTTGGAGCTGTCTAGGGAAATGACAAGTGAGGAAGGTTTTTGCAATTTAACGATAGTGAATCTGTCTTCTAAAGAACTTACAGAAGGGCAGATCAAACTTTTATCGAAGGGTCTTAAGTTTACTCCGACTCCGAAAAAAGACGTGTGAAATTAGCCCCGATATACAAAACTTCTGCACGAAGTTACGGAAAAAAGAATTTTTCGAGGATAAATCGGACGCTTCAGACACCGACGAAAGTCTGGCGAAAAATAAAAGTAACTTCTGCCCTCCTAGAAACAGAAACATTACCCTAGACAATTACATAGATTTCCTCACGAAATTTCCACTTAAAGAATTAACGGTGAAAGACACCAAACGTTCCAATTTAACCAAAGAGGAACAAAATGCCCTACAGGAGCTTAGAGAGGACTCTGAAATACTTATCTTCCAAGCTGACAAAGGAGGGGCAGTCGTAGTTATGGACCGCACATACTACGCCGATAAAATACTCGAAATGCTGAATGACTCACAAACATATGAGGAAATTACCGTGAACAAGGACAAAGTCGTTATGAAACTTATGAAGGAGTTAGCAGGTAATCACAGTCACAGCCTTACAGAGAAAGAGGTTAACTACCTCTGTCACTTCGATTTTAAAACCAGTGGTTTCTACGGCCTTCCAAAGATACATGAAAGCAAGATCATTTGTCAGGAAGCCAAAGTCCAAAAGAAACCATATATCAGAGTTCTCAGGCCCGCAGATCTCAAATTTAGGCCCATAGTAGCTGGTCCTAGATGTCCAACGAGTAGACTCAGTAACTTTGTAGACATCCTTATCAAGCCGTTTACTTTACATGTCCAAAGTTATCTGAGGGACACTATCGATTTCCTCAATTATTTACCAAGGATAGTACCTGAAAGTACAATATTAGTCTCCTTTGACGTGACCAGCTTGTACACAAACATCAACCACGAACTCGGCGTAAAGGCCATGGAATACTGGATCAATAAACACCCACGGAGCCTGAACTCACGTTTCAGCAAAGAATTTATTATCGATTCAATCCTTTTAATACTGACGAATAATACTTTTACCTTTGATGATAGAATATTCCTTCAAAAGAAAAGTACTGCGATGGGAACGAAAATGGCTCCCAGCTATGCAACCCTTGTTCTCGGATATTTGGAGAACGAACTCTACAGTCAGGTCTTTAATAAAATGGGAGAAGAAATAGGCCATTATGTTTACACAAACTGGAGAAGGTTCTTGGATGACTGCTACATAAACTGGCCTTACGGTGAGGATAAATTAAAGGAACTTCACGATATTTTAAACAGCTTAGATGGAAGCATTCAACTTACTGCTGAAACTAGCTGCAAAGAACTTCCGTTCCTTGATGTGATGATAAGAAAAGACAAAACTCACCTAACAACCGATATTTATTATAAACCGACGGATTCATTCCAATACCTCCCATATACATCCAGCCATCCAAGACACACTAAAAATAACATACAATACAACCTGGCTCGGAGGATATGTATGATTGTTGAAAACCAGGACATAAGGAAAAGGCGACTAGACGATCTCAAACAGAACCTGCTGAGGAAACAGTATCCAGCTGAGATCATTGATTACGGTGTAAACAAAGCCCTCACCCCGACAACGGAAGAGTTAAGAAGGGTGAGAGGGCAAGCTACCGAAAATAACCTCCTTTGTCTGGTAACAACTTACAATCCAACAATCCGCAAGTATTCCAGCTGGTCAGGAGAACACTCCCCATGTTAAACCAAAACTCCTCATTAAAATCCATTATGAGCAAGACTAAAGTAATTCACAGTCAGCGACAGCCCAGAAACCTCAAACGAATGTTAACTAACTCCTATTTCTCCAGGCTAAAGGACACTGATCCGGAAGTTAAAATTTGTGGAACAAAACGGTGCGGAACATGCCCCTATTTAAAACAGGGTAAAGAATTTACCTTCTCCGCCACAAATGAAACATTTCGGATAAAACACTCGATGAACTGCACCTAAACGAACTTGATTTGCGTAACAACATGTGCAGGATGTGGACATAATTATAAAGGAGAAACGGGTGATGTCCTGAGAAATAAAGTGACAGTTCACAAACAACAAATCAGAGACCCGCACACACGTATGCTGGGAGTCAGTAAGCATATCGATGAATGTGCGGCGGGATTGACTGCTCAGTTTACTATCTTTCCGTTTTACAAGATTCTCAGCCCCTCTGAGGGCATGAGAAAAAACAAAGAGAAGTTTTTTATTTTGAAATATAAACCCGTTCTTAATGATTTGAAATTACGCTAATTGCTCGCGCGTGCTAGGAATTACAAGAGCCATTATAATTGTAATTACAATTACGTCTGTGACGTAATAAGTTAATAAAACACTTTGCTATGCCTGAAGAGCCGCAACAGCGGTGAAACGCGTAGCGCAAAAGCAAAGAAGACTTTCGTTTTTCATTGTTTTTAGTACATATATATATATATATATATATATATATATATATATATATGTAAAATTTGCACGGGCTCTCTTGCCAAGAGAAGGTGTCTAGGTTCAGCATGCTTCTCATTCCCCGTTACGGAACCTCCCTTGCGATTTCGCACTGGAAATTAAGGATGGTACTTATGGTTGAGCACCGATCCAGCTGTCTCGACCAAAACAAGCCATTTTCCGGACCAGTTTCGACTTTACTGTCTTCTTCAGCGGATTTTACAGTTTCAGCTTGTCCGGTCGATTACGCGCCGTTGGACTTATTGCATTAACTATGTGTCACAACTCTTTATATACCATAAATTGACAATTACGTGTATGACGTGGGTTCATCAATAGATTGATTAATGAGTTGTACTTATTTTCCTGCACAATTCTTTGGCGTTTTCTGTGTTAACGCGGAAAACTTTAAATCTAAATGTCTCTCTATCCTTACAATTTGACGCTAGTTTGTGCTACTTTTAAAGTTTTAACTTAACTGCCACTAAAGAACCGTTTTTCTCTGATTGTATAAGCAGTGATGTCTCTGCTCTTGCGCAAATTTGTATTACGTATATGACGTGGGTATGTCGTCAATTAATTAATTAATGATTAGTTGTTTTTCCTGAGCAATTATTTGGCGTTTTTGTGCATAACGCGGAAAACTATGACTGTTATTGTCTTTCTAAACCCACATTTTGAGGTTTACTAGTGCTGCATGTGTCTTTCTGCAAACTTGTTTGTCACTCAGTAGAGAATTGTTCGTTTCTGATTTTATTGGCGTTGGTGGCTTTGATCTTTGGTGTAATTCTATCCCATTTACGTATATGACGTCGGTGTGGCCAGCAGTTAATTGCTTAACAAACAGTTTCAGCTATATAATTCTCCAGTGGCAAGCAATCTGGTAGAAATACACAAGCAGCACAAGCAAGTCTCAAAATGTGGGGATATAAAAACATTAACATTCACAGTTTATCGCGTTAAACACAAGAAACACCAAACAATTGAGCACGAAAAAGAAGAACCACTCGTTAAGCAATGAATGATTTTCCAGTAATCTGATACCCATGTTTTGCGCACAGGATTCTGGGATCGCCAGGGGGCAAACATTGCCAGTCGCTACAAAGAAATGTATGGCGTGGAGTTGTTTCTGCGTTAAAAGCAGTGTCTTTGGACATAGAATGCCGCATTTTGCCGTGATTTTATGAGAAACGGAGGTGAATAATGTTGGTGCGTTGAAAGTTCAAGTTTCTGTGTGATTAATGCGATAAATTCTATCGATAAACACTCCTTGCGTGAGGTTGAGTGTGAAATTTATGTTCACTGAATTTACACAGACATGAAGAATTCGAAGAAAAGGTCTCGAAATATATAGTGCAAATTTAGGTATACATGTAGGGGGATTGGCTCATTTAAGCGTTTAAGCCATAATTACGTGTGGTGATATTTACGACGAGTGTAACTACGCTCGGCCGCGATCAGCGCTGTGCGGCGCTTTGCGGGTTATGACAAGACAACGTTCGTAGGTATGTACGTGGCCATAAAAATAAAAAATCCTCCTTTACTTTGGTATAAGCAAAGTGACATCTACAAAATATTTCACGGAAAGTACATGGTATTGAACCATTAGTAGATGAGGCAGAAATCGTACAAATGTGTAAGATTTCCGACACAAAAGCGGTGAGTGTGAAAATAAATACCAAGTTGATGTGCGAAATTCAGAGATTCTATATCTTCCCTCGAAATGATTGGGAAACGCATTAGAATTCATCGGTTCTCAGGATCATGACAAAACATTTCGCTTGTGTTTTTTTGGCGAGAAGAAATCAATATACTAATGTGCGGAAGATGTTTTTGTTTTTAAATTTAATACATATCAAATTCGACAATACATAAAAGCTTACCTTCGAACGTTGTCACAAACCGGCACAGTATTGTGATCGCCGCCGAGCGGAGCGTAATTACACTCGTTGTAAATATGAGCACATGTAAGTACAACTGGAAAGGCTTAAAATGAGTCCGCATTCCCCGCTCATTTATACCTAAGTTAGTACTATATATTTCGAGACCACTAGTTCAGTATAAATTCACAGCCGACTTTTGCAAGAATCAGTGTTTATCGATAGATTTCATCGCATTGATCCCACAAAAACTTACAATTTCTTTGCACCAACATTAGTCACCTCCGCTTCTCATAAAATCACAGCAAAATGTTGCATTCTCTGTCCAAAGACACTGCTTTTACCGGAGAAACAGCTCCACGCCATACATTTCTTTGTAGTGACTCGCAATGTTTGCCCCCTGGCGATCCCAGAATCCTGTGCACAAAACATGGGTATGCGATTACTGGAAAATCATTCATTAACTGCAGGTCACACCGACGTCATGTACGTAAATGGAATAGAATTACACGAAAGTTTAAAGCCACCAACGCCAATAAAATCAGAAACGAACAATTCTCTACTGAGTGACAAACAAGTTTGCAGAAAGACACATGCAGCACAAGTAAACCTCAAAATGTGGG